CGTTCCTCCCAAGCAGCAAATTGCTGATTATTGCTGCTGGCAAACTGGAGCGGAGCTGATTGTAAGGTAAGTAATGTAGAGAGGTTGTGTGTAGGTGTGCGCTCGAGAGTTAATTGCCATTGCCTTTTGCCATGCATCTTTCGCAAGCGATCGGTGCTGTGCCTGCTGCTAATTGTCATCATGTAGTAGTAGTAGTAATAATACTGAAAGCTGCCCTCCCATTATCTCTTGTTGTTGTTTCGTTCGTTTGTTTCGTTGGTTCGTTCATTATTACATGAGATAAGATCCAAAGTAGAATCGTGCCATGAGAATGGATGTATTCCAACTAAAACCAAACGGGTGCAGTATCAAATTCAACACATACACCACAACAATGGCCGCAATGGGGAATAAAAAGACTTCGGTATTGGATAGAAAGGGTAGCGTTCTGTATCCCAAATGGGTGACATACCAATACCATGACAGGGCCGCGGCGTACATGGTATTTCCCAACACCATGGCCATGAAATGGCTTCCCAACACCACAGGGAGCATGAAAAACTGAACGGCGTCTGTCATTATTCAATAAAACAAAAGACAGAAAAAAACGTTAGTTCCCGACAACAGTACATCTTTCTTTAATACCCATACAGTTGATACTCACATAATACGACAAATAGCGGAAAGAAAGCATTGCAATGAATATCAAAGGCATATAGCCATTCGACGGATTGTTTGACATGACTGGACGAGCTGTGTACGGTCAAGTGTCGATTGGCGATTTCTCTTCCAATAGTGGCAATTAAGAATCCGGCTCCCAGCCAATTCCAAAGGACCGAATAGAGCAAAAAGGAGATTCCTCCCGTAATGGTCGCCTTAAAAGCCACTGCATAGGCAATACAGGCAATGATCAAAAAGATGCCCTGGAGCGCCACAAAGGCAGGATCGTCTCGTGCCCAGTGATTCTTGGTTTGCTTGCGATAATAACTCGTCTTGTAGACCACATGCGGACGTGACGTCAAGAGGGTCTTCATTTGATCCAATGCCGATTGAATGTCCATTTGTCGAAAATCCGTCAAACGAGCCAGATATTGCATCGGGCGATTCACGGCATTATTGCTACCACTACTGTGTTGCGATGGATGATGGTGGTGGTGATGATGTCTTGCTGTCGCCGCCGCTGGATCGGCACCCCCCGAAGCCACGGTCAATTTCGATTTGCGCGAATGCGCGGCATCACCGGAAGGCATCGTTGTCGTACTGTCCACTTGTAGATCTACTGAACCCGTCTCGGAGGACATTCAAAGGAGAAACAAACAGACACTAACAGATGGCAATAGCAGCAATAACAAGGATGGGTGGCAGTCTTTAGAAACGGTTGGTCAAGAGGCGGCGGAGAAAGGTAGGTTTTTATTAACCACTACAAACAAACCCAATGGAGGGGTATCCAAGTGCAAAGGACACGAGGGATGCAGGTGCTCTTTTCAACTTTTTAGTGCTTTAAAATAGTAGTAGGTCGCGCTATGGCTCCATTACTTTCCACTCCATGCTCGCTCAAAGGAACCATTCATGATCTCACCCACGCCACGGCAGACTGGATGGGAACAAAGCAAGCGCTATTGTACAATGTCATGTTTACTACTAGCTAGCTAGCTAGTACTGTACTGTACTCGTACGTCCAGGTTTTTTTTGCACTACGCTCGTAATCAAGCATAGAACTAACTATAGCGATTGTGCCACAATACCCAGCAACCATCACACCGTACGGAGCCACGGGTATTTCGTTGTGGATTACGCTGTGCTCATTCATTGCTTTAAGTTCGGCTGCCTTGGTGAAAAACTAACTACCCAGACAGAGCATGATAGCTCGCACACAACTACATGTACCGGTATGTATATCGGTACCGGTACCGGTAATTCGTTTCCATCGGTCAGGCAAAAAGGATTGAATCCTGCTTGCCTGCCAAAACCGCAGTTTGTCGCTTGATCAGGGAGGACTGCAGGTACGATCGTGAGATGAATCACAGCCATGAGCATGTCTGCCGGAACCCGAAACTACCACAGTGGAGCTGCAACTAACTGCATGCAAGACAGATGCAGCCAGTCCATGGTTCTTCTTGTTTCTTGTCTCTCCTCAACACCGGTGGTTGTTGGCTCTTCGCCTACCGTACAGAAAAGGAGCAATGATGAGAATCCCTGCATCTTGTTCAGTGCGGCGTTGGAGAATACAGAGACCGGATGAAGCATGACTGGATGCCACCTGGTACGATACCGGTACCGATAGTACTACTAGTAGCCCCATTGAGACATTGCAGTGCCCAACGAATCTCGAATATCTCCTCTGTGCCCACCCAGCAACTGCACTAATGGAAAATGAAAGGTGGAAACGGCAGTGGCACAGATCTTATCTAGACTATGTTCTTTTTCTTTCTCTTTTGGGGTCGAAACTGAGTTATTCCCTCAATATTCCTTTTTCTCTATTGCAGCATGTATGTGGACTCCCACCAGCCAACGTGGACGGCTATCAAACAGTAACAAGCAACGTCTAGGTGATTTCTTCTATCTGCTTCAGAAGAGGGCTCCATCGAAGAGGGTGCGGCAGTTTGAATCGTCAAAGATTTCTCCTCCCTGATCTCTGGTACCAGTAGACGATAGCAGAGAACCAACATTTCTACTCACGGACACCCATCAAAAGTGGAGAATGAAGAGCCTTGCCCAGCAGCTGATTGGCAATTTCTGGCTTCTTTTTTCACAGCTGTTCGCCCCCATTGCATTGCACAAATACTGGCCAGTACCTGATACAGATTTCCTGCTGGCCCCACATGTAAGTGGCAACCTGGAAGCTCAAGTAAAACACTGATGAGATGAGGGTTCGTAGTGCTGGAATGAAAGAAGCATGGTTTTGCTCCAAGCACTGAGTTATCCAGGTAACATGCATGTACAGATGTACCGGGGCAACACTTTGAAGTATGAACTAAAGCACTGTGGAGTTGTGGTAACGTTTGAAAACACACATATTTTAATTTTACCCAACATTGCGAAATTCCTCGTTGGTCAATCTGATCGATTCGATTGATTCATCATTCGGCTTATCGTTCTGGGCTGTTCTTTGAGAAAAGCCCGTTGTGTTGAAGTGTTGAAGTGTTGAAGTCGTTTCCTTGTTCACGTTTTTATCTGGCGTAGAAGCTTTCGGGTTCGTTTTATTTTAAAGCTGAGTCATTTACGCTTCACGGATTTAAGCACCCAATGAAAGTCCGTTCAATCGATAGTGTTCTCTGTTCGCACTGGAATTAAGGTGCGTGCTCTTTAGGAGCTCTCAGGAAAGACGAAATCCGAAGATAGAAGTCGTCTCAAATGACTGGTCATCCAGAAATGCTTCCAGAATACTCATTTTGGCACAACTTCTTGTCCAAGTCCAGTGAACAGTAGTGGACCTTTCAAGCCTTGGCAGCTGCAAAAATCGATAGTGTCCTCTCTTTAAATCAAACTCACCAGCCAGAGCGATTCTCGAACGTCATTCTAGCGTTCGATCGTTCGTTCGATCGTTCGATCTCCGGTACCGGTACCGGTAACGTATGTATGTATGTATGTATGTATGTACAGTATGTAGAGCTCTATGTCTATGTTTTTAAGGCCAATTGCCCGTTACTGGTACTGCACATCCAGAGCCGACTCACCCAGTCGAGGCGCCTTTGCCCCTTTTACATCTTACACCGTACATTGGACTCCGGAGTACGATATCGCAAAAATAACTTGGAGCTTGCAAGCTGCTAGCCCCAGATGTTCCGAGCAACATTTCCATTTTCCATCTGCCTTCTTGTCAAAGTTTCCCTTCCCCTCACAAAATCCCCCCACTTCAAGAGACACCAATTTCGAACAACGCTTCTAATCTCAACAGCTTTTCCACCCACCATGAAGCGAGCAAACGATCAGAGTAATGGAGCCTCCAACAATGGAAACCCCTACCACAGCGTGCGTCGTACCTCTCAGAGACGATCTCTCGCTCAACGCCCCTCTGCGCCCCCCGTGCTGTCAGCTGTACATGTACAGGTAGCTGTGAACCCCAGCCAAGCCCGTCTTCGTCTCCTTTCGAACATTATCCAGGAAGTTTTGGAACTTATCGACGATGAACCAGATTTTTGATAGACCAAGCAACAAACCTAAATCTGCTATGATTGCTACATTTTGTATGATTGAAAGACCGCTACGGGGTTCTGCTACGACCGAGCACAGGCGTGTTGTATGTTGTATGAATGCTACGTCCAGGAGACACCAGGCTTCGGAGCGCAACTTCCGTATCTGCTTCTGGGATATCACTTTCATAGGAAAGTTAAACTAACGCCTACTATAAGATACTATATTTGACAAACATGTATGGCTTGTATCATGATTTGATTCATCAGTACTAGATAGATATCTTGCTCATTTGCTCTTCAAACTCCATCTTGGGGGAACCGTGGGAGTTCTCCAATGAAAACCTTGTGTAAACGCGGGGATGGTTGCTCTTTACGGCAACTAACGTTATCTAGCTATACCACACCGAGCCTTGTAGTTGCCATGCATTACGTGGAGGAGCAACATTGATGAAGCTTTTAAGATCACACAATACATGTGGCTGACCCCATGGCACGCACCCACGAGTACGAACCCTGAGGGCAAAGCATGCCTCTGAACGACGACTCACTCCGATGCCGGCACCGGGGAGAGTTGCGTCGAGAGAGCTCGTTTGGTCCACCTCACTAAGTTTGGCTGCTTTTGGAAGTGAGTGGCAGGAGTGCCATGGGACACCTGGTCTCCTCTCCTTGGAAGTTTCAGGAGACTCTCACATCGACGGGCCTCATCACTCAGTCTTTCTTAGCTCATCAGTCAGTCTGCATCTGATATATAACCAGGCGCTGATGAAAGTCTTCAGAACGCATCGAAGCGGGGCCACCTTTCTGGATCGGATTGCAAAACCACAAGCTTGCACTGCAGAAGAATACCCTTCTTATTCCTCAAATCACAGCTGGTGAAACGTAATGGCCCCAGAAGGGCACAAGTTTATGGGCACACACAAGACCATGGTGACAGTAACAAAACTGTCTCATCATTTGGCCGCTAGCTAGCCTAGCTAGAGCTATGAGTAAATAAGAAGACCAAGCGACAGCATGGGCGGGGTTGGGTGTGTCCAACATAGTACATGATCTTGGGGAGATTACACTGTGCGGTCGATTTCGTTACGGTATGATTACACTGCATTGCGCATGTGCAGTTTAGTAGATATCTTTACATTTCAACACGAAAAACAGTAGCTAGCTAGGAAGAAGTGCCAAGATGGAGTAGGTGTATTAGAGAGTCCATTGAATAAGATCACTGCCAGGTACTCATCAGAACCAGGTACCGGTACCGCAGCTACTCCTACACATCCTCTTCTCTGTCAGCATTCTGTTGGATTTGCTTTTGTACGGTAAAGACCAACGACTGTACCATAGCCCGTACCTGTGGTGGTGTCAGTACTTCCGAGTTTCGAATGGCATTGTGAATGAGAATGGTGTATTCCGGTCGGGTACTGTGAACCCACACAAATCCATTGACTCCGACGGCCAGTTCGAATGCTAGTTTGTACTGGGGTTGCGCCAATTCGTCCAAGACCACATTGGTACTGGGCCGTAGCAATTCTCGTGCCAATCCCAACGAGACACGCGCCATGGTTCCACCCTTGAGTTCTCCGTACGTCCCCTCGTTGGTCATCCAATCTTTGGGGGCAATGCCCAGATCGTGGGGTCCATTTTGGCAGGACAATACGGGATCCATCATGCCGTTGCGATAGAGTGTGGCGACGCGAGCATAGAGGAGTGTCCCGGGTGCAAATTGTGGCTTGTTGCGTTTGCTGGCGCCTTCAAAGGCGAGACTGCTCATCAAGGCCGGATGAGGACCGCCCATGTTGACCCGATACAAATCCCCGCCCACCCCGTCACTGCCAATCCGGTCTTCGACCACTACAACCACACGATCTTCCAAGGCAGGAACGTATCGTTTGGTGTTTTGTTGTACAAAGAACGCCTTGTTGTTGCGATGTTGTCGCAACTTGCCCGCCAATGTGGCTTGGATACGATGCGTAGTGGGATTGTACGAGAGGCCAACACCCAACTTGGGCTTTTTCGTGGTAGTGGTAGTAGTAGTAGAAGAATCAGAGGATGGCGGTAGTATTCGATCCGTGACATCGTCTCCTGGAAGGACAACTACCAGTGGTAGTTCATCCTTTGGTGGTGTTGGGGATGGCGATTGGCCCACCTTGTTGTTGGATTTGGATTTGCCCATATTCGATTGGATTCAATATATATACATGTATGTACTAGTATAGTGACTGCAGGAACTACCGTTACTTGGCTCCTTGAGTTGCTTGATGAGAGAACCAAAATGCCGAGAGTAGTGATGTGCACGTCGTGTGTTTGCTCTATTGGAATACAGGATGGCACGACGAAGGGACTGACAGTATTCAGTACACGTAGCAACCTTGCTTCTTGTTGGTTGGCTGCGAGACTGTCTAGCTAGCTAGCTGTCACTCACTCTGAAAGATCCCTGTCTATTCGAACATAATCGATTGAAGATTCGATTCGAAGCGAAAAAAGGAATTGTGTGTTCTACCTTGAAATGCATCCATGCTCACACCACCAGACTTAACACATGGGCCCCAATCAAAAATCTCAGCTGGCGCTCCAAAGCGAAGGAGCTGCGAAGGTCACCAAGTCACCAAATCGCTCAGGACACCAACGAGAGGAACAATAACACTGTCACTTCCAAGCTGATAGCTCTCTCTCCATCCGCATAGTTATATAGTAGCACCATGGACCTTTCTCTGCAGTACGACAGCATCATCGATGATGCCAATGATGACGATGGTGCTGCTACTTTTCCTGTCCAAGAAGAACGAACAACAGTTTCGCTGCGAGGTTTTTCCAACCCGTCGCGCATGCTATCGGATCACCCTCATGCCGATGAAACCGGGGTCGTCTTGATGATTGTCTTTGCCCTCTTCTGTTTCATTTGGTACGTACGTATGAAGAAATAATGTAGACACGAATGCTCAGTTCCTGTTGTTCTGTTTTGTGTGTGGAGCTGTTGTCCTTTTTTCTCACTTTCGTTCGATTCCGGTTTGTTTGTTTCTATTTTTGTTTGTGTTTGTTTGTATAATACAGGGCCCCGGTGATGCTTCGTCGATGCCGTTACAACCGTCGTCGTCGTCATCATCATGCACACAGCCATGAGAGTCATCAGGATGGCGACTTGGCGCAATATGAAGCGGAAGCACGCGCCATGAGAGCCACATTGCAGCGAATGTCGATGATGGGAACTTTATTTGCAGCGGAACGGAGACAACAACAACTCTTGCAGCATGGATCCCTCTTTGGTCGTCCTTCCCTGTTCTTTGCCAACAATAGTAATACAGCAGCGTCCAGTGATCCATTACAGAACCGACGACAATTCCTAGACAATGCGCTCTTGACAAAGGTGAGATTGTTGTTGCAACCATACATGATGATTAGTTGACTCAACTTTTATTATTCGCGTCCCTTTTTGCTGCACAACAGAAAGTGATTTTCAAATCAGATGCCGACGAACCAAACGAAAAAGAAGATGATACTTCAGCAGCTTCCCCAACTTCTAACTCCTCCTCGTCCACAGAGAAAAAGACTCCCAAACGACAAAAGAGCAATGTTATTGTCTATGTCAACAGTGCGAAGATACAGCAACAGCAACCGAAGGAAACTGACTCGGCTTCCATCCAACAACAATCTGCCAAAAGCGACAAAGAAGATGAGTCGGAAGAACCTGACAAGGAAGAAGAAAAAGACACACCACCAGCAATAACAATAACCACAAACAACAACATTGAAGAAGATGAAACATTAGACACCCAGCAGCAGCAACCGCACGATGATGCACCGGAACCTTGTTCCATATGTCTCGCAGAATACAACGATGGTGATGATATTTGTTGGTCACAAAACGACAATTGCAATCACTTTTTCCACAAGGAATGCATTTCACAATGGCTCTTGACCCATGAGGAATGCCCGTGCTGTCGACAAGACTTTTTGTGTCTGGGTGACAATCATGTGCCAGTTGCTCCTACTTCTACTATTAGTAGTAGTAGTTATCCCCGAGAAAGCCGGGATCATCTCGATTGGGCGTCGGAATTGGCCGAAGAAATCAATCAACGCATCTTTCATCAACAACGACAATTGAGGGCCGAATTGGAACTGCGAGAACGGGAATTGAGATTGCAGCAATTGCAACTGGAATTGGCAACGTCCTTTCCTACACGCAGCAGCAGCCGAAGCAGCCGCAATGACAATAGCACCAATCCTTCGATACGCACCATTTCCATGGATGATCTGGCCGCAGGGTTGCTCTTGTATCGACATTTTCCCGTTCGTTTTGCCGGTGATCCATGGCGCAGTAGTATGGCACTGCAACAACAGCAGCATCAACAAAGCCATGATGATGATGACAATGACATTCGCGTGTCGCAGTTTCGAGCGGAACCCTTACATCATCATCGTCATCGTCACTATCATCCGGGGAGTATTTTTGAAATGGTGGAACAATCCTCACGTCGACATCGACAAAGAGACGATGCATCACCGGCCGAGCCACGACAATCAGCTCGTGAGGATGGTGCTGAGCAACAACAGCAGGACGACAATGACGAAGAAGCGGTAGTCACAGTATCAGCATAGTACCGTATAGTCCATCTTTCGAGCTAGCTACTAGGCGAACTGACTTCAGCGTTTGTCCAATGCTGGGCAACGCAAATGCGCCCACTGGTGCGATGGGTCTTTGCTTGAGGGGCTAGCTCGTCAGTCCAGAACGAGCTTCGAACTGATGTTGATTTTGCACTCAACGACGGGAAGCACGGTACCGGTACCAGGTACCTCGCAGTGCCTTTCGATTGGCTTCTTGTATACGGTACCGGTACTTCACGTACCGCACAGTTCGCCCTGGCCGGTACCTGCTAGAATACACGAAAGCTCATTTAGTCTCCGATTGGTGTCGTTCTTTCTCAGAGACTGTGCTCGCTAGTTTTCTCCGTAAAGAAGATTTTGACTTTTTTAAATGATTAAGAGCTCTGGTTAGTTGGACTTTTACTATAACTTGAATGTCAGCTGTTCTGAGCTTATCTACTTCCTACTGATCTTGAGGCCTTCAAACTAGTAGCTTTTGTGGTTTACGATGGATAAGTTTCTTGGAATTTTCTTTGGCAAGCTCCCGATCCGCTTTCTTCTTGTCTTCTCTAGCGGCTTGGAGCTCATTCGTAAATCGAGACACCTTCTGTTGCCAGTTCTTCAAATGCCCCTCAGCTACCTTGAGTACTTTCTCTGTATCGGTAACTCTCTGAGCCGCTGCAGATGCTGCTCTCTGTGCCCTTGTCTTGGAGTTGCATTTTGCCAGATGTTCTGCCTTGCAACAATCATGGAAGACTTCGTGGCAGTCTTCACAGTATGCAAGGCAACTCTTACAGCTGGCGGCTGCTTGCGTTAGACAGTATCCCTCCCTTGGATAGCCATCAACGTCACACACCGAGCAACAGAAACGGTTAGCGCATGTCGAACAGAGGGTTCCTTCACACTCGCCGCACACATTCCATTCCCCATCATCAGTCAAGTAAAATTGATCGTCGCAATCATGACACATGGTCATTGTTATGTCGGCGTCATAAGAGTCGTAGTAGGGCATATTGAGATAACAAGAACCGATAATGGAAGAGCAGCAGTCCAAGGGATAAAGCCTGGGTGGGCACCTACTAGCTAGCTGGAGGAGCCTTGAAGGGTCAGCGGCAACAAAAAGAATAAGCTCAAGCCAAGGTAGACGACTATTAGTACTCATTCCAGTTGGCGGTACCAGATGCACCAGGTAGTCTACAGTACTGGTACGGGAACCGGTACTTGTGATTTGAATTTTAAAAACCATGCTCCTGAATTTTGACTCTTCTTTTGCTTTTTTAAAAGCCTGGCCCCGGGTGGCTTCCATGGATCATCCACCTACTCTAAGCCCCTCTTTTACTGTACTTGGTGTGTACTGGTATGCTGCAAAGGCCCACTAGCTAATTTCCCTACTCTAAACCCCGGTTATTACTAGCTTGTCTAATGCCGTTGACAGAAAGACCTGGTGGAAATTCCCCCCCCCCAAGAGAGACGGTGCACAACTGATCCACTGGGATCAAGCTACTAGGGATGGTCCAACAGCCAGAATGGCCCAACAGGGAGAATGGTTTCTCGGAAGTGGGGTAAATCATGGCAAATTACCCTCAGCCCCAACTCCAGAACTCCCTTTCATCTTCCATCATCACAATGAGCTGACAGATATACCCCTGGCAGTTTAACCAATAGAGCCACCCTATCAACACCATGAGATAGGGGATAGATAATTTGGACGTGCCTGTCGCAGTGGTGGTAGTGGCTTCTCCATTTGCTGGTCGTTGAAGCAACGAACGGCTAGCAAAGTTAGGCAGCCACCTTTCCGCAATTTTTGCTGCCCCCAACTGGCCAGCCAGTCTCTGTCCCCACCGCATGTTCCGTTTGGTCCAACAAAGAGAGATTTTCCTACAGGTACGAATCAAAGCAAGTGTGGAATGGCTAAAGCTATTGTTGCTATCAGCAGAACCACCAGAATAGATGCTAGAGTTGTCCCTAGATCATTCTGGATTTGTGGTCTGGGGCTGCCACTTTTTTCTATTAACTTGAGGATCCTACTAGCTTCCAATTGTATGATTCTCCCCAATATGCCTATTAGATCAATAGATATGACCGGGGTTGATAGCAGAAGGGCAACACAGTTCCAAATGAAGCTGAAGCTGAGAACTTGGGAATAGTTCGAAGAAAAATGAGTCTCTAGTTTGACATAAGATAATGCATGCTACATGACTGCAACCACTGCAACCAGCACATGGCTACGAGAAGCAAAGAGTGTAGACAACTTTAGATGTCTGCTTTTGTTGTGTAGGTGCCATCTTGGTTGAGTTCATCCTGCAGTAGTGCTTTCACCACATCAACTTGTAGTGGTGTGGGGAGAAGCAGCCAAACGCACTTGGCCGTAGTGGTACTGGTACAGTCGTACTGGTAGCTCTAGCATACCGGTACTAGTACGGTAGAGGGGCTACGGTCCTCAGGTAGGATGACGTCATCAGTGAGAATTCAAGGACGCGCGGGAACACAAGAAAACAGGGAACACGTACCGTATGCATATAAACACAAGAAAACAGGGAACACGTACCGTATGCATATAAACAATTTTTGAATAGAATCAATTTGGCTGACCACTTGTCTACTGTGCTGCTACCGGGTGCCCTAAACTGATAACATGGGGCAGAGAGATTTGACCCCACCAGCCAGGGAAATATTAATAAAATTCAACATATGAAGTTAAGGGACATGGGTCGCCTCGTGATTGACCCATCCTCGTTGCTGCCATCATCAGCACTGCTACTAGCTCTGCTACAACCATTGTCTATTTTAACAGTGCCCGAATCGAAAACAATGTCAGACTCAAATGCAATTCCTATAATCTAAAGTATGGCTTCAGAAAACAGCTGCAAGATATCTGTTTTTAACAATGATTCAGTAATTATTGGCAATAAAACTAATTAAACTAGTAAAAGTAACAAAATATATAAATATATAAAATAAATAGATTATAACAATACAACTAATTTATGTAATATTAAAATATTTTTCTGTTATATACACAAGTTTTTCTACAAACTAATATTATTCAGAAATATTAAAATACATCTAAAATAAAAAAGGATAAATACTTTAATTTTGCTCAATTTTTAAATATTCTTAATTGAGAAACCAAAAAACAATTTAATGATCTATTAAAATCATTCATGTCGCCAGTGGGTATACCCCAAAGGGGACCCCAATACCCACTGGCTAAGTTTTCTAATTAAATTAATGAAATACATCATTGTGAGTATTCTTTTAAACGTTATGCAAAAATCTCGTGCAAAAATGTCGTGTAAAAATGTCGTGTAAAAATGTCGCGTAAAATGTCGCGGAAAAATGCATGCAAAAATAACGTGCAAAAATGTCGTGCAAAAAAGAATGTCGTGTAAAAAAGAATGTCGCGTCAAAATGTTGCTTCAAAATGTCGCGTCAAATGTCGCGTCAAAATGTCGTGCAAAAATTTCGTGCAAAAATTTCGTGCAAAAATTTCGTGCAAAAATTTCGTGCAAAAATGTCGTGCAAATTGTCATGCAAAATGTCGTGCAAAATTTCGTGCAAAAATTTCGTGCAAAAATTCGTGCAAAATTTCGCGTAAAATTTCGCGTAATCTTGCTAATTAGCCACACAGCGTAACATTATCACGAATGTAATTTTGATGTCATATTGAATTGCAAAGTTATCTTTAAATTTCGCGTAATATAGTTGTATTCGTATGTCATGCAGCTAATTATCGCATAATACAGGCAGCTACATTCTTATGTATCAGAGCTAGATTCTCGCGTTTTTAAGCTAGATTCTCGCGTGTTAGAGCTAGATTCTCGCGCTTTTGAGTTAGATTTTCGCGTGTTTGAGTTAAATTCTTGCTTGTTACAGCTCGACTCTTATGTTTTTGAAATATATACTCGCATATTTCAACTTTGATGTTAAGCAAAACTTCTATTTCAGCGAGATTTCTTTTTGGCACACACGTAAGAGAAATATTTTCTCGTCGCGTATTTTTGCTTTTTTGTCTTGTGAAATACATTGGTTGTCATATCACACTTGTGCAAGAGCAAGAGATATATTCTTGCATATTTTAGATTGTTCGTATTATGTAATGCAATCTGACTTCAATGTCGCGTGTTAGAATTACATTTTTCGTTTTAGAGCTAGACTTTTGTGTTTTAGAGCTGAATTTTTGCTTGTTTTTGCGCATTAGAGCTATGTTTTACATTTTCTTGTGTTACTGCTACATTCTTCTTGCATGTTAGAATTATATTCTTGCGCATTTTTGATTGTTTAAATTTCAGTTCTCTTTCTAAATGTCACACACGCGTTGCAGAGCTACTTTCTCATATGTTGTGTATTAGATGCATGAAAAATACTTTTTCTCGCGTTTTATTTGTGTCTATATCATGACAGAGCTACATGTTGTTTTTTAGAGTAGCTTCCTTGTGTAGTATTAGATTGCCGCTCTCGCATGTCAGTTTTGAATAGTACATTCTGATGAGTTTTTTAGCTTTGTTGTTGTATTTTAGTGAGTCTCTTTCGAGTACACACGTGAGAGAACTATTCTCGTGTGTTTTAGTAGCTTTATTATCATGTGAAATAAATTATTCTTTGTTATGGTGTTACATGAGTGAGAGAGCTAGACTTTCGGGCGTTTTAGCTTTGGAAGTACTATATCATCGTGAAATTTGGCTTTGGTGTCAAGGAGTGTAATAGAATTACATTTTCGCATGCTGTCAGAGTTTCTGAATCAGTCTGGTACGTTAAGAGAGTCTATTACATTTTGGCGTTTGTGTTAGGACTACATTATCATGTGTTTTAGTTTTGTTGTTGTAGCATATTAGAACTTTGTAAGATTTCTGTGCTGGTGAGACGCGTCACAGAACTATTCCAATGTATGTTAGCTTTTTGTTGTCATATGAAATGCATTTATTGTCGTGTCATACATGGAATTGTCTGTATTAGGCCATGCAATTTAGCTGCCAAACTATATTTTTGGGTGATAGAAGTATACATCATTGTGTTAGAGTTACATTTTTCTCGCAATAGAGCTACATTTTCTCGATTAGAACTATATTTTGTGGGTCAGAGCTGTGATCTGATGTGTTAGAGCTATGTTCTTATGTTTTAGAATTATCTATAAATTTTGTAATATAGTCGCGTAATGTTGTCGTGCAATTTAGCTATATAAATATGTTTGGTAAAAACGTCAAAATCATCATATTTTTACATTAAAATGAATTCGTTTTTGCATTTTTATTTTAAAAAATATTTTATTTAAGTCCCCAGTACAACAGTAAATAACGATCCAACAGTACAACAAAAACAGACTTTGCAATTGGAAATTTGCAATACACAGTTCACCCCCCAGCTTTAGCAGCTACAGATAGCTGGAGTAGGTATACATCTGCTTAACTCTCAATCGGTTTGGCACCAAGCCTTGCAGCTTCGACGTTCTAGCAGCACCTTTATTCCACTCTTTTGGAGGCCTTCCAAACAGCAGTTAGATGCCCATACAATTTTCTACAGGACCAGAAAGCACCTTATTGTTTTACGCGCACTACTCTACAACCAAGGCAGCTACTGACTTCCCGCTCATATAGATGTTGAGGAGGGCTACAAGCTTGATCCATCCCTGCACTGGTTGTATGCAAATTCCATATGAGCCTCTCACCTCATTGCCTTTCGTTATTTGTTAGTTTACTTTTTTAGCTCCTGGTGAGTCGAATTTGTTATTTACATTGTTTTGCTTTTGTACTCTCACTGGGCCCCATATCCCAGCTCGAATGGCTTCTGGCCGGCCGGGGACGCTCGCGCCGCCGATATACCGAGAATATTCTCGCTGTTGGACCATCCGTAGCAAGGGCGAGAAATTGAGGACCATTACAGGGGCCAAAGGGTTTGGCTTTGCAGGATCCACGGAGACATAAATAGGTAGCTTTCACAAGGGCAATAGAGATGTGGGTCTGCAAGAAGAACAACATTTGAGAGTATGAGAACTGAGTTTTGTTGGCAGCCGCAGAAGCAAGGCGTTTTCAAAGACTGTTGGCTTGGGGGCAAGTATGCCATCCCACAGAAACAACAAAGGGATGAAAGGAGGCGTGATTTTCTCACATTCTTGTTTGGTTAAAACTTTTATTGGATCTTTGTCCTGGTAGGAGGCACAGTCCAAATCTGTGACATGTACATCAATAATAGCAGTATTACCACGTTCGAACAAGCCGTTAATGGGAGGATCAACGCACAAGAGCTAGGGGGCTGGAGGGGGGTTGAAAGGGGGGAGGGCAGGTACAGTGGAAATAGGGTAACCAACAGGGATTGTGAGGGCTGGAACGCTGGAACAGAGTGAAGGGTGGTGGGTGGAATACATGAAAGCTCATTTTATTTCCTCTCCGATTGATGTCATTCTTTCTCAGAGACCGTGGGTGGTGCTGTCGTCTGTTGCAGACAAGGAAGGAAACCCATTTGTCAACATTCTAATCCTACCGGTACCGGCAAGGCTACACGACTATCACAGCACTACACCATCAAAATCGCAAACTAGCTAGTCTATACTAATAGTGATGATGTTAGCATTAGATGTGGTATTCCTGAGACGAAGACCGTCCCAGAGCTCTTTGCTTTCGCTCCATCAGTCGTTGACGTGCCCTCGCTTTGTTACGGGCGTGATTCATAGAAGACGCCGACGTTGTTGTAGCAGATGCCCGCCTTGCTTCAGACCGTTCCGTAACTGGATCCGACCCAACGACAGGAGCTGATGTTTGTCTTTGCATTGTTTGGTGACCCCCACGAGATGCTGTGTATTCCTGTTGGCTTGGCGGATCCGCACGAGATGATGTGTAATGCTGCTGGCTGGGCGGATCCCTTCTCGCTGAATCATCTGCAGGAGATGATGCTTTTCGCTGGTGCCGAACCGCATTAAGCTTCTGTCTGGCCCTTCGTCGCATGTGAGCAGCACTCACATCACTTGAATTGGACTGTTGGAGTTGCTGGTCTTGTTGTGGAGGCATATCGTAGGAGACTTGCTCGAGCTGGCCACGGTCCTGCATACCCCTAGGGATCACATCTTCGAGGTCAATGGAATGACTGGTAATACTCGGAAGTTGCTCCTGGACTCGGTAATCCTCGTCAGCTCTTTGTTCTGCGCTACTAGCCGGTGCAGCGTAACTTTCATGCTGTGGCCTCGTTTGGTGCGAGGTGTCCCTCTGCTGCTCTTGGACAGCTGGTCTCGAAGCGTGCCTCGGCGACACAGCCGGGGCGGATTCTCGTCGAGGTGATCTGTGTTGATGATCCGTTGTCTGATGCTCTGGGACAGCTGGTCTCGAGGCCTGCATCGGCGACACAGCCGGGGCAGATTCTCGTCGAGGTGATCTGTATTGATAATCCGTTGTCACAGGGGGTGCAGACGATTGTGGTTGCGAAGCGGGCGGAGCTGATTGACGAGGTGGGGACGCAGTAGGCTGTGGTTGCGAATGCTGATGAACGGGTGCAATATGGTGCGTTTGCGTTTGCTGAGAATGATGCTCGTGCTGATGAACTGGTGCAGTATCAGTATGGTGCGTAGGCTGAGAATGATGATCATGCACGGATACTGGTTCAGGTATCTGCTCTATCGCGGGAGCTGGCCTCTGTTCAAGTCTCTGTTCTGATGCCTGTTCTGGTTCTTTTGATGGCTTTGGAGCCGCAGGTGCGGTTGACATGTACCTGTCGTGCATGGCTGAGGCCCTCAGCATGCCAGTGTTCGGTCTCTTCTGAGGTGGCGGGTTTGTCTTGTTGTTGTTGGGTGTCTGCCCGTTTTTGCTATGCCTTTTCCTTTCTTCCCTCTTCTTTTTCTTCTCTGACTCAAAGACTTGCTCTTGCGCTCGATGCCAGTCCTTGCAGAACTTTACGACGATGTTGAAGAGCTCATGGGGTTGCAAATTCTTGTCGCCTGATTCTTCCCCGAAATACTCAAGAAGCTTGTTGAATTTGACCTTGGTTCCCTCGACACGGTCCCGAAGAAATGAAACTTTCTTGATGGCTGAGAGGGTAAACAATCCAATTGGAGTTGCTCTCAAAGCCTCGACCTCCTCTTCCAGAGACAGGGACATGTCGCTGATGCTTTCTTCGTCCTCGTCTTCATCGTGGTGCTTCTTTTTCTTCCTACGGAATTTCGAGGCTTGCCGCGCTTGATAAAGGGATATCCTGCGTACATTCTCAAGCTGGTTCTCGACCTCTTCCAGGTCAGAGACACATTGATCCCAGAACACCTTGTCAGCTTTGAAAACGGTGGGCAAATCATCCTTGAAACGAAGCAGTAGCTCGTTGTTCCTCTGTACAATCAGAACAATGTATTGCAGAAACGTAGTTTTCTTGTCAAATGCTTTGGCCTGGTTAAGCTTCAGGAGCGAGTCCAGTGAGAAAGCCCCGGCCTTTGTCTTTTTGCCCTTCCCAGCCGTGTTCAAACGATTTCCAAACGTCAGAACGATACCAAGAAGCTGGCGAAGACGAACAGAGTTGCTGAGTTCGTCACAGGAGGTCTCGACAGTGTTGGTTTCTGCAACGGAGTAGCAGTTTGTGAGTCGAAATGGCATGATGCACACGGCAGGCTACGATCCACAACATACCTTGGTATAGAGCCTCCAAACAGCTTTCGAACTGCAACTTGAATAGCAATGCTCGAACTTTTCTCTTCGCATGTTTCACAGTCATCATGGAGACCATGAACTTTTCACATTCACAGAGCCCGTCGAACTTCTCTGCCGCGTCTTGGCCTCCTTCTAGCATGTATGCTTCGAGCGCCTTGCGCTCCTCGCGTGATGGCAAGTATTCGATAATATGCTCAATCTGCTCGGCCGTCATGCAGTTTTCGTCGCTGCACAGCACCAACACATATTGAATTGAACGGGTTAGTGAAACTTTACTGCCAAAACAAGAATCAAATCGAATTGCGGCAAAGATCTTACATTCTGTCAACGACATCGGCCATATCATCGTGGCTCATTTTGAGACGGGCAAGAATGATACCGCCATTGTTGGCACGCTTGGGGTCGATAACTCGCACAGCGGCACCTTTTCTAGGGCTTCTTAACCGTTTTCCCTTCTTGTCTTGCTGCTGTCCCTCTGGTTGAATTTCAAGTTGGAATAACTCAGCAAACTCAGCCTCGTCGATTTCAAGATTAGTCATTTCCGGATCCTCGTCAATTTTTGCCCACAGCGAGTTGCGACGAATGGCCTGCAGAGGCTTCCAATGCAGACGCGCCCGACGATGGGAATCTTTCTCCTTGGGTGCATCATCCTTCTTGCCCTGGCTCGAGTCAACAGGCATGTTATGATCTTGATCCATGACAGTTGAATCCAGGCCATCACGTTCCATGGCGTGTTTGACGGCCTCCATAGGCATGCCGATCTTCAGCATCTTGAAGTATTTGATATACTTCGGATCATCCTTCAACGGAATTCCCGTGCAAGCAGGTTTGTTATGATTACCATCCATCACACATGGGTCAAGATTGTCTCTCACCATAGCATGCTTCACAACGTCCATGGGCATCCCAATCTTGAGCATGGTGAAATACCTGGCGTATTTAGGGTCATCTTTCAAAGCCGGACGCCCGTCGGAGATACCTCCAGAAGAAGAGCTCGGTGCCGTGCTCTTCTTTGGGGATCCCACAGGTCGAGGTTCTTCTTCTTCGTCAACATGTTCATTGTGTGCGGGGTCGGCTTGTTCAGAAACAGTCTCTCTTCCGTGCAAGAATGCGTTCAACATGGCATACGTTGCTTTTGGTGTCCGTGATGGGCTGCTAAGTGGTTCGCTGGTCTGGCTATATGCAGTATTGACTTCAAGTTTTTCCATAGTTGGCTTTCCTTCCACAAACGCTTGGAGTCTATTTGACGCTTGTTTGGTATCTGATGGTGCTTCCTGTTGGTGCTCTTCTTCCATGTCAGTTTGAGGTTCCTGAATTTGCAAATCTTTCAGCTGCGCATGCAATGCAGACAATCCTCCTTCACTTGAGGCAGGTCGTGACGGAGGCACTGGCAGTGATTCTTCTTGCTCAAAGTTGGAAGAATATGTTGGTGGCTGCTGTTCGTCCTCTTGCTCCGCTTCGTCGTCCCTCAACTGCTTCAGCTGGGAGTGCAACGATGCCACACCTCCTTCATAACCTGGTCCCAAATGGTGACTGCCGTCAGCATGTTGCATTGGTGGTTCTGCTTGAGGACGCCGCGGTGACGTTTCCGCTGAGTGACGAGATGGCATCGAGTGTCGCGGTGAGGCAGGCAAACTATTTTGCTCTTCAAAGCTCCCACTGTTTTCACGCAAGGTGCCCGGCATTCGATTTTGCGATATTCTGTTCTGTTTTTCGAGGCTGTCCAACGAAGCCTGTGCGAGACGTTGAGTAGTTCTGTAGTCAAAACTAGCGCCAACTTCATCGGTGGGGGCATAGATGCTTTCACGATCGGCCTCGGTCGAACTCGATTCCTCGCCAGCAGCAGGACGAGTTGGACGTAGGCGATCGCGACCGATCACCGATGATGACATCTGACTATCGTTTGTGGGTGATAAAACATTCTTGCCCTTGTTGGCCGCAATTCGCCGACGAATCAAGTCAGCGACATCCCTTTTCGGAGGTTCCTGAGATTTCTGTGATTGTTCCTGCTGCTCCTTTGCCTCTCGTTCTTTAGCCAGTTCGAGTTCCCTTCGCTCCCGATAAGTCAGCTTCTTCGGAGAAGCTGGTTTCTCTTCCCTTGGAGGAAGAACGCTCACCTGATAACCTCCCCTTGCGCCCTGACTCCTTTCATCCGCCTCTTCTTGTCTCTGGTACTGATGGTGGGCCTGTTGTTGAGCCAGCTTTTGTGCCATGGATGGGGACCGAGGCGAAACACTCGAGCAATCCTGTTGTTGCTGTTGCTGCAGTTCCATCTCTCTGCGTTCACGATACGACAGCGCCCTAGGTCGAGATGTCGCGCTTGGAGAGTGTTGATCATGGTGGTCGCTGCTAGCACTTTTGCTTGGCTGGATGGCCGCTGGAGGGCTAGTTTTGCGCAGTTTCACTGCCATAAATGCCGGAGTAGACGTTGTTGCAGTTGGCGAGGTGCCTGGTTTAGAGGTGCCCATCGTATCCATCCCTCGCACTCGGTTCAAGACAGCATTGACCTGAGGATGCTGTGAATTCGAGAATCGGGGCGATTTAGGATAGCTTGCTTCCGACTTTGAGGCTGAAGACGACATTGATGCGATCTTCATTTTCTGTCTCGTAAACGACGATACGCCGACTTCTGACCTTGAGGCAGCAGATTGTGGCGATATTTGAGAGTTGAAACCAGCAGGCTGATGCTGACTGTCGTTGCTGTGTAGTCCCTTGTTGGGCGGTTCTACCTCCATGGGTGCCGCCTTCAACCGTTCGCGAAGACTTGCAAAGGAAGACCGTTGGCCGTTGCACTCCTTCACACGTTCTTGTTGCGGCTTCAGTTTCGCTGCATCCTGATTTACGTGATGCAAAAATGTTTGGGACTTTAGTCCGGAGGGAGCAGTGCCATTTCGTAAATCATCCAGCTCCTTTCTACGCTGCTCTTGTGGTGACTGCACCTTCCCCCTCAGTGCATCTTCTTCCTCATCTTGCAGCTCTGCTACTAGTTTTTCCAAGCTGTCAAGCTTTAAACCTGCCTGTTGCGCTGGAGAGAGTTTCTGTGGTTTTATTGGTTGCTGCTGTGACGAAGGAGCTTGCAATGGTTGCAGCGGAGAAGGATCGGTTTCTGCAGTGGTCGTGGCGTCAGTTGTGTCAGTATGATTGTCCCTTTCTTCAGAAGTATCGTCATCCTTCTTTTCTTCTTGTTCCTTTCGAAATGACGACTCTCGCGAATAGTTCGCTGCTGGCTGCGGTTTGCCCCGTTGAGATGGTGGAGCAGCATACTTTGCCGCTGCAGATTGCCATTTCTTCCCTCCAGTTGCGGCCGCAGAATCAGATCGTGGGACTCGATTGGCTCCATTTGGCGGTTGAGGTTGCTCTTTCAGTGCAGGCTTTTGTTGAGTCTGGCTGTTTGGGTCCCCTTCGAATGAGTCGGGCATATGGGTCAAGCGGCCTTTCCAGTATCTGTCAGCATCCTCTTCTATTGATCGTTGTTCAAGACGCTGCTGTTCCTGTTGCATTCGTTGCTGCTGTTCTTGTTGATAACGTTGCTGCTCTTGCTCTTGTTGATATCGTTGCTGCTGAACCTGCTGAAACCTTTTTTGCTGTTGTTGCTGATTCCGTTGTTGTTCCTGTTCCTGCTGAAACCGTTTTTGCTGTTCCTGTTCCTGCTGCTGCTGTTGTTGTTGCTGTTGATACCGTTGCTGTTGTATTTGCTCCTGTTGATACCGCTGTTGTTGTTGCTCCTGCTGATACCGTTGCTGCTGTTCGAGCACTTGTGGTTGAAACTGCAATTGTTGTTTTGGCTCCTGATCCTGTTGTTGCCGTTGCTGTCGTTTTTCAATTTCATGCCTGGGTGGGGTCAACATCTTGATGGCTCCAGGGGGCGGCACCCATTGCTTTTTAGGGGCTTGAGATGGCGAAGGTCGTGGGCGTCTTGGAGCATCATTGCTACTCGACGTGAATCCTGCCTTTTCCTTGAAAACGTTTCGTCTTGGAGCTCCATCTGTGTTGTGGTCAGTAATGCTAGACAAGCTCGAAGAGCGCTCCGATGAGACTGGCGACTCTCGATGAACCGAAATCAGAGGTAATGGAGACGGCTTGGAAACACGAAAGCCATTTTCAAAGCCGTCATCGTCTTCCTTTGGTGTTGGTGTGGACCTTCGACTGCCAGGAGGTGAATCCCATGCTTGTGGCGCAAAGTCGTCCCCACTAGCGTCCTGAGGCTTGTTGTTAATGGTGCTAGTATTGACAGTTCCGGCCTCGGAGAGTGCTGGATTTGCAGACGGCGTGTAGCCTCCAAAGATCCCCCGCTTGGATCCTTCCAGAGCCTGCACGGCTTCTTGTACTTCCCGATCAATCTCCGAAGGATCCAATCCAAAGGCGTCAAACGTAAAGCCTCCCCCACCATTGTCAAACAAGTCAATGTCCGAATCAGCCACGGAGGAACACACGGATGCATTTCCACGAAAGGAAGGAGATGGCGATGCCTGCCAGTTTTGTGATGAAGACATGGCGTAAGAAGCGACGCGATTTCGATTGGACGTCGACGAATTCCCCATGCCATTGTTGGAGCCAACAGATCCATTGCTGGAAAAGATGGTACGCCTGGTACTTCCCGGAGAGGGCGGTGGAGTTCCTTCGCAACTGGCCGTGTCTGATCCCTGCAACGACGCACCCGACGATCCATGTCGCAACTGGCTCCTCATTCGCCTCCTGGCAGCGGCCCCACCGGCTGACCCCGGTGGACTTGGCATCATCATGGGGGCGCTGCTGCTAGCAACATGGTGTGGTGATGTCTGCTGAGCAAAATTAGCTTGCATGGACGAGTTTGAGGGAAAGGTGGACATGGATTTGGGAGCTGGTTGGTGTTGTTGAATAGTGAGTTGTTGCTGTGACTGAGCGGACCACTGGATGGACGACGACGCTGTGGAACCAAAACTGATTTCACTTCCCGTCGTCGACGGTGCCTTGCTTCGGGGCGGTCGTCCTCGACTGGATTTCCGTTGGTCCCTCTGCGATGCCTGAATGGGCAAAAAGTCCATGTCGTAGGCTACAGAACTGGCCACACTCTCCGTGTCGAACGAATTGTCGCGCACAGGGAACCCGCCACTTCCAGAGGATCTGTGGCTACTGCCATTGCTGGCTTTTCGTTGAAAGTTGGGATTTGGCTTGGGAGCTTGAGCAAAAAAGTCCTCTTGAGGCGGAGGCGCGAGTGATTTGCTCGATCCCATGGCCGCACTGCCATTACTAAAGCTGTTGCTACTGCCCAGTTGTTGATCATGACCGAACGGATTAAAATCATCAAATGCGGATGGCTCTGGAAAGCTTGGTTGAAAGGTGGACGCCGTCATCTTGTTCTTTTTGCTGCTTTTGCTTTTGCGGCTGGGAGGAGCTGCTTCTGGTTCATTCATGCTCAGTTGCATAGCGATTTGTCGGGCATGTTCTCTTGAGGCTCTCATGGACGCCGAAGATCGTCGGTCCGGACTGTACTTCATGAACGCAAAGGACCGGCGCTTGGCTTGTTCGGATTCGCCATAGCCGCCGCTGTTTTTGCGACCTTCCTGAGAATCACGAGAATTGTTGTGCCGCACCCGATGCGGTGATGCACCAAACAGACTCCTCATCTTAATTGTTGGAAGTTGGTACTAGTTTTCACAAGAAATGTGGATTGTTGTTGTTATACACAAAAATGTCCCGGTGGACTGACTTGACTCCTCTTTCAGCTAGATGGGAGCCTCTTTCTCTACACTACACTACTATAAGCTCATCTCCTCCTGCCTTGCTTTGTTCTCTCCCTCATTCATCCACTACTCGATCGGTTCCTAACTTTTCTTCCTTTTCGTGGTGCAATTGGCGTCCGTCGGTGTCATGTGATGAGCGAGGGCTTGGAGTACTGGCCATGCACGCGACAGAATCTTCTAAGGATGGATCGTGTTCATTTAGAACGGCTTAGCTACTGGACACTGTGGACTGACCTCCACAAGACTGATCTACCCCGTTGGACGCAAAGACTAAATGGACTAACGGTAGCATTGGAGTTGTTGTTGGTCCTTTCCCTCTATTCCATCGGATTGTTATTTAGGTGCCGGCAACCTACATGATGTGTTCGAATCCACTACGACTCCACACAAGTCAATAAGCCACTTCCGAGTTCACTTCAAAATGGCGGTCTCGGTCTACTACTGTAGGTAGATGGCAGGTCAAAGAAGCTGGAGTCGACGTCAGGCTAGGGCGGTCAGACCAAGTGCTTGCTTCCTGCTTCTCAAGAGCCAGAACAATATACAGTAGTTCAGAATCCAACTCCAATGTTCATGGAAGGCTGGTCGTATTTGCTTGGAACACGGTTGCTTCGTAGATTCAAAAAAAGCAAGCACAGGTGAATAGTGCTGTTCCGGCTGGTTGCTTTCGGCTTCTGGAGGGGGCAGCCCGTGTCCTCTGTGGGGGGAAAGAATGCAATGAGGCATTGGCTGGCTGTTTGATTGTTTGCGTGCAGTCTCTCGAAGATGCCAGTGCAGTCAGTCAACTGCTTCACAGCATCCCCATCATGGAAGCCGACTTTTCCATTGTGTTTTCTTGCCTGGCTATCTTATTAAACCTACAGTAGTAAATCTACAAGTTCTACATCTACATGTACCACTCCTTGTAGATGTAGCTAGCTCCAGCCAGATCCAGCCAGATAGCTACCAGTGGAGCTATGCATATTATGAGCTGCATAGCGGTATGTATCTTTTGGATCAGAAAGACGACAGGGGGGATAGTAAGCAAGAGCGTTGAAAAATTTGGTGAGCGGAGCAGCCAACGGTTGCACAAGCCCACTGCAGCTTTTGGCCATTGCAGCCTTCCCATCACCCTGGCATTGCGCATCTACGGTCGTACTACAAGTAGGTGAGCTGCTGGGCACATTTACTCACCCCACGGCTTCGATGACAGACATCTCTAGGTAGTAAGCAGTAACATTGCAAGAGCAAGCTAGCTATCTGGCCAGCAAGTGAAAGTGGGAAACAAGAGCACCTAGCTCCTAACTAAGCAGCAAGGCCGCCCGTCTCTGTGATGGCTCCAGCTTCATCAGCAAACCACCTTACGAAACTTCCCCTTGCCAGCCATGCTGTGGTATCTCGTGGTCACGGTAGCCTAGTTAAGCCTTGTGTTGGGTGCAGGGCGGAGTAGTTTGCTTCAACTTTACGAGTGCCTGGGAGAGGCATAGAATCAGGTGCAGCATGCACCTAGCTAGCTAGCATTTGCATGGTTTGGTTCCGTTGCGATCTGTAGGGCAAACACTTGCCATACATCGTCAGGTCAGAGAATAGGAGGGAGGTGGGAAAATTTGGTGAGCAGCAACAGCAGCCAACTGAAATTGTGGTGGTGGTACCGTAGCCTATGTAGTCCATTGGCCAAAATCAGCTTCCTTTTCTCGAGGTATCCATGACTCGAAGTCTGGCCACTTCAGCCGCGATGACCTCCCCTTTTCACAGCTCGATGGCATACCGGTAGGCATATGGTATGCATTCTCTCGCACAGCCACTTGCATGCTCAAAAAACCCATGCAACATCGATTACAGGAACAGCGAAGCGAGGGTAGCAGGGACATCATTCCACAACATCTTGACAGCTCTTCGATATACCGACACTGCCAATGTATTTAACTTTCTCAGTCGATAAGAATGCCCAGGCGGGGAAAATGATCACTGGCAAATTGGTCATTGATAATACCCGCAAACCCTTGAAACATGTGCGCTGCAGTGGCATTTCCATGTACTTTCGCGGCAAAGAGTACAGCTTGGTGGGCTATGATATGACGATTCGAAACGTCGACGATGGATCGCTCATGAAGGAACGACACTACAAGCGAGATACCCAAGAATTCTACCGCCTCGAGCTCAAGATCCCCAAGGAACTGACCGATACCATTGTAGAAGGCGGACGGATTCATCCTGGCAAATACGAGATTCCTTTTTCCTTCAACCTTCCCTCCAAACTACCGGGTAGTTTGCGCGTCTTTTCGGGAGATTACAAAAGTCACAAAGAAAGCGATCGGGCGGAAATTTCCTATTGCTTGCGAGCCAAATTGGAGGAATCGGGACACTTGTATGCCTACCAAACCCGCAAGACCATCACCGTGGCAGCAGCACCCCAGCGATTGGAACGAGTCCCTCACTTCTGTGGAGCCGACGACACTGGGATTTCGGTGGGAGCGTCCTTTACCCATGTCGCGCCCGGGCAGAAACCCGTCATTAGTATTTCCATTGATAAAAACGACGAATTGGTGGAAGGCGCCGAAGTGAAATCCCTCAAAATGTCAATACTACAAGCTACCACTTGGAAAGCCGACACACTGCACAAGGGAAAAGATGCGGTTCCCTTTGGGATGAAATTCTCCCAGAAACGAGAAAGCCAAGAAATCAAGGATCTCAACTTGAAGGGATACATTGATATTGAATTTCCCATTCCGAAGGTAACCTCTCTCTGGAACACTACAGAGGGACAACTCTTGTCGGTAATGCACGAAATTGAAGTACGGATAATCATGAGACACGGAACCTACGCTACGGAATATACATTTTCCATCCCCATCAAAATGGCACCTCCTGGATCGGAAACTCTCTTGTTGGGAAAGGAAGTGAGGGTTGTCACGGCTGAGGAAAAGTCTATCAAATCAAAATCCTCCCGTGGGTCGAGAAAACGAAAAACCGCAAAGTCGGTCAAGGCTGCTACCACAGCCAGTTTTACCTGGAAACAAGTCGTTCTGAATGTGTTATGTCTGTGTCTCCTCTACTACGTCTACCTGCACTTTGACACTGTCTTTGGGAGACTCGCCGCCGCACCTGCCTTTATACGCGAATTAGCTGATGTTGGGACTGCGTTGGCCGCATTTTCGTGAATGAAGCTTAGCTACCGTGCTAGGTTTGCTTCATCGCCGCCGATGGAGCTCTCAAAGGTTTCTGACTCCCGGACCTTTCGGGTGAAATAATGAATATAATCACAAACTCACGACGCTGATGCCTCCGAACGTTTTTCTACAACAGACATCTATTGCCAGGATCCAACTATTAGTGCTCGTATGCATGGTTCTTCCTCTGCCGAATAGTATTTATGAAAGAAGTGCTCGCAGCTAGCATTTGCTGGACACCATAACTGCATCCAAGGCTGCGTCATGTTCAAGTGAGCGCAACTTTGGCGATGCAGGTCGAGATCTCGAGGGCATTATCCGACCTGCACGCCTCCAGCACACGGCAACACAACAACAGTCTTTCGTACCGTTTGCAGCGTCATCGTAGCTCCTATGATGCATAAAGGGTTCATGGTTGCAGCATCATGCCTTAGTAGCCCAGCGCTGCTACCGGTACGGTACCAGGTACGCCCCAGTGGCAACTCTCACGAAACTGCCCCATCTGCCACCATACCGGAAGTAACATAGATAAGCTTTCACAATTTCAAAATTCTCTCCAACTGCAGTATCTGGACGATGCACACCATGTGGGACGTTGAACGCCGTGGATTGTCGTTCCGACTTCAGCTCGAAATTTTCGAAAAGAAACCTTTGCGCACCTCTCGCACCTCTCCGTCTTTCTCACAAAAACCCCGTACATTACCATGAGAACACCAATGAGCCTTCTTCTTGTCTTCTTCCTCCTCGGGTTGTCCTCGGCGGAGTCGCAAGCAAACCTTCGAGGTGTTTACCGGAACGGAGATTCCAGCGGTGTGGAGTTGTCCGACGAGAACCCGACCGCCACTGAACACCAATCCTCGAGAGAGTTGCAGGGGGTCGCTATACTCAACTCCATCATTTCGTTGGTGACTCCGGCCGTGTCAGAAAAGATTTCCTATGTGATCTCCGGATATTACAACGACTATGATCTTTTGTGGTTGGAGGAAGAAGAATACTCGATCAATCACAGGTTAGGAAGCGCGATTGCAAAGGAGACTGGCGACAATGCTGTATGTGGTGGCTCCGACTTTGACGTAGCAGTGGATTTGTCCGTGACAAACTTCGTCGGTGCTGGCGATTTGTCGGTTGACGCCATTGCTTTTGTGGATGGCTCACAAAATGTTCAGCTGAACCGCCAAGCTTTTAAAAATGGCGCGACCTGGTCAGGTGCTTGGATTGTAGATGTTTCGTTCCCCGAGTTGGTGGGAAACACAACCACAACATTCAATGCTGCTTGCAATGTCGATGGTCAGGTATACAATGAAGAACAGACTGTCAATGGAACCGTAACCTTCACAGAAGTCAAAACGCAATCCCTTGTTACGATCACGGGAGACACAGAACGGGTGATCTTGTTTCTATCCTCAAGTGAGCTTAGCAACGCCCAGATTCAAAACTTTACATTCGCTTACGACGCATTGGATACGACAAACATCTTGGGAGACACTCCCGTAGACGATCTCAACTTTGATGCCGACGAAGTGATCACAAACCTTTTCAATGAATGGGAAGTTCACACGCAATTTGATGGGTATATTGCAAGACTCTTGACGAAGGCTGTTCAAGAAGAGATAGATTGGATCTTGCCTCGTCCCCTTCTAGGATTTGAGTGATAGATGAGAACTTACTTAACAAGTGGTACTACATGAAGGCTATGCCATGTCACAACAATAAAAGTTGGTCTTTCATTTGCTTGGATGTCTTCCTCTAACTATAGGAACAACATACGCAGTAGCTACTGATGACCGATTTGATGGTTCACTGACTACGAATGCATATTTCAGCAAGGTCAGTAGTGAGTTGGAGTGACTTTTCTAGCTACGGTACTAGGTAGCTACTGGCCGGGACGAGTTGCTCGTGGCTGTGTCCACCGCGAACACCCATCTACAAAACACTGTTTCGAGGCTGCTTGCAATCGCATTCCTCATCTGGATAACGATGAAGATATGCGCAATGACCCTCAAACCCCAACAAGCCCATGCTTAGAGGAACCCAAAGCAACGGTAGCGTATGCGTATTCAGTGACAGCTGTTGTGGGGTGTACTGCACTGCTCGACATAGTAGACGCCATGTGCAAATGATACAGAAGAAGCCAAGTGCAACCTTGTTATGGGATTGCTTGGTTGGCAGGACTTACAGTACCTGGACGACTCTTAATAGTCAATTGACATGAGCTTGGCTGTCACTAAGTGCGCGGAGACTTTCGTATCCAATCCAAAAACCAACTACGAGTATAGTCTATTTGGGGCAGAAGAGGCCATCGTCTTTATGGCGTAGCTACAATCTTCTGCATGAGCCAACACTACCCCAAGAACCCAACATCTTCTTCGTTCGCATTTCAGGCGTTAGCTATAGGTTAGCCGCAATACCGTACATGCTGGTAGAAAGGCACTTTGCCTTAAGATAGCCGGTTTCCACAACCGTGCCGTAACTGGTGGTTACCGCAATAAGCCTGACGAAGCCACTTCGTTGCGTTTAACCGACGACAGACGAAGAAACCACGCTCACGACATTGAGAGAGAATGCTCCATTTCCCGACACTCTTTGGCCCTTCGGAGCGTCAAGCGCCTTTCGAACTTGGATCCTCCATCCCAGAATAGACTGGTTGGTAACGTTTGGAAGGAACACACTCTCTTGTCCAGCTAATGAAAGGACTCGGATACGGAATCCCTTTCCTCGGGAGTCGTCGACAACGTGCCTCTGGCTCCCCTACCGGACCGCACATGATCGCTGGAGGAGGTGCGGAAAGCCATGGATGATGATCCAAACGGAGAAATATCAGCGGAGGGCCTAGTAGACACACCATGATACGTTCCAGTTTGCAAAGAAGAAGAGCCGTGTCGGATAAAATTGCTTCCGCCAGAACCATGTGCACTTCTCACGGACATGAGTCGGCTACCACTGCCGCTGCCACCACTATTGAATCCGCCGCTATTGTCTATGCCACTGATGCCACTCATATAGACACTGCGACCAACAGTTGATTTGCCGTTTCGACGAATCGCAACCGAAGCAGCGTTTCGGCCTCGCGGTGCCCTGGTGTTCCGCAATGCAAACTTTGGTAGAAACATGGGGCCCAGAATTGAGCAACACCCCACAAAGAAAAGCATGGAGGACAGGAGATAGAATGCAGTGGGCTGGTCGAGAACTGGAAATACAATCATGACTGCCATGGACAATGAAGAAGCAAGACTCCTGAGCAAAACAAAAATGAACAAGAACGTATTCGACGTGATGATGGTATGGTACTTACTGCCGAGCAGGAATGTTTCCGAGAGGCTGATCATGGAAAGAGCCATGTACGCCGTCTCGCTGAATTCCGACGGTAGTTCTCTTGCTCGATAACTCTGGAAGGTCGTCATCCCCAATATAATGGCGTTGGTCAACACGAGAGGAGTGGTGAAAAAGAAGTGATAGTTTCCGCCGGGTCGGCAGGCCCCGTATGACTCTTCACTACGACCAAACTTGTCAACATGGTTTTCATTCGTGATTCGTTGCCAACTCATCCTCCATGGCGATGCCGACCAAGATGTCAAGATGATCAAGTTGATGGCGATGAGCACTACGGTGGGTTTCATGACATCTCGTGCTTTGATTTGTACTCGTCGAAATCCCGTCCCGGAATTCATCAGCTGATTGATTCGTCGTGTTTTGGAGAAAATGGCAGAGATGGACGTAGCAAACCCCAAGGACCACAACCACGGTACAGCATTGCATGCCACGTCGAGTGCCAATGGAGAACTGGGTTCTTGCACTCCCAGGGGTACAATGACCAATGCCAACAGAAACGTTCCCACGCATAGTTGCACCAGGAAGATGGGCTGGGAGAAACAACGTGTCACGTGAGCGGCATCTTGTGGGCGTGTGAAACACACACCAACCTAGACTAGACAACTACGTACCTGCGATGCCCGAATGACGTAAATGTTGCGATTGCGTAGTACCCACGCCCCAATCCCCAGGGACAAGAGCATTCCCAAAACGGACAAGGAGAGACCAAATCCCTTGACACCGTCGGAGATCAAGTTCAAGTCTTCTTCATGAGGTGGCAACGCCAGTGGTGGATTGGTGGTGTTGTCGTGATAGATGAATGGTTGAACGGCATGCACCATGGGTCCCGTGCTGTTGGGAGGGGACAATTCGACCGTGGAGGACACATTGGCGGAGAACGTCATGACGGATAAATCTTCTTCGTTGTCCTTGTCGTTGTTGTCAAAATAATCATCGAGTACCATATTGACAATTTGATAGCGCAAGGAATCCCCCAATCGAGTTCCCGTATCCTCATTCAAATTGACTCTGCCAGAGACTCCTTCAAAGTCGACTTGCAACAATTGTTGATAGAATTCCCGTCCCGTGAACAATCCCGGCGTATTGCAGGCTGTCAAACCCAATGATATAATGGCATCGTATGTCAAATACTGGAAGAGAGACATGCCCGGACTGGATGAAAATGTGAAATTGGTCAAGAGGTCGGAGTAATCATGAGCGGCAATGAATTCTTGCTGCAGCGTGACATTGTCTGCGACCGCCGCCAATGCTTGATCAAATGCCGTGTGCGGTGTCACTTGCAAAAAGACGACCCCCGTCCCATGCAATGCCAGTGCAATGTCTTGTTCTGTTTCTCGATCGAGTGCGAATCCATCGGCCGCCAGCGCCACCAAATCCCCAATAAACCATTGATTGCGTGGATTGCCCATCAAGCCCGCCGCATAGGCGGCCTTTACGACTGGTTTCCATGCCCCGGAATTGATAATGCCAACAAAATATCTCAAATTGGTTTCCTGTAACTGCTCCATGGCTTGATCCAAGGAATCCACTGTGTAGGCGACACTCTTGACATCCACACCGTATTGTTTCCCGTAATACTGTAAATCCTGTTCGTACCGACGTCCCCAACTATCTTCACTGTGCAAGACGCCAATGTTACTCACATGCAACTGCTGTTTGAGGTAGACAATGGTAGCATGGGCATCTCCTTCATTGGTGGGGACGGTCCGTGCAAAAAAGGGCAAGGCATCCAACGACGATGCCGTCGATGAACTGGAGATTTGTGGCAATTCAAAAGCACTTCCGAGAATTCCCACGGCTTGACTCGTCACGGATCGAGCGGCACCCAAAATGGCAAAGGGTTTTTGTTGTGGTTGTTCTGATTGTTCTGATAGTAAACGCGTATTGCCACGAGGAGGAGCCGTCGCCCACGGCATTTTGGTCCGCAGTGGGACGGCGGTTCGCGGCGGTACGGTGGCGGCTTCTCGGGGAACGGATGTCCGGGGTGTCTCTGCTGCAGTTGGTTCTGGCAGTTGCGCATGAGGCAGAGACCAATAGTCGTTGTTGTTGTGATGATGATTGTTGTCTTGCTCTGTGGAATCTCCTGTAGCCACCGTGACCACTTCTTGTACCACGGGAAGACTCCAGTAGTCATTGACGTCATGCCAAATACTGTCGCTGTTGTTGGCAGCGGTGGAAATGGTAGTAGCAGCAGCAGCATTACTAATCGTAGTAGTAGTAGTACTGTTGGCGGTGGGTCGACTCCACGGTTTGGCTTGTCGCGAATGTCGTGGCAACTCGTAGGACATGACTTCGGTGGCTGCTTGCAGGGGCGAAAACTGCGTATCGTGATGTCGATACGTCCACGAAAAGTCGCAACTCTCCAGGAGTTGCGGCAATTCGGGTAGGACGGATCCTGTGCGATGTTGAATGTGTTGAAAGGCCAAAAACGCACTCAGTTCGACATACACTCGAAACTCTTGCAGAGCTCGTTCTCCCGTCTCGCTATTGCGACGAGACAAGGGCAACAGAGACATCAAATGGCCTTCGCGGCCGCCATTGTCTGTCGATCGAATACGAGATGCCACCATGGTGTCGCTCATCTTTCCAATTGTTCTTACTATTATGGAAGGCAAAGCGAAGCTTCCAGAAAGAGATTAATCAATGGTTGGTTGGATTGCTTCAGGTGTCGACGTGAAGACCGAAAGGGTTACGGAGGTTACTCTGCTGGAGTCGAGTCTGGGATCTCACTCAGACTACAATGGAATGGTAGGGGCGACTTGACTTGATTTGACTTGAACACGCAGTTCCATGCGGCGTCGTCTGTGCTCAACGACAAGAAACAATTCACGGAACAACAAAAAAGAGCGTGGCCACACGGGTTCACGAGACCTTTCTCAGAAGTTCTGGGCCACATGCAACATAACAGTTCAGCTCAAATGCCACATCTTCACTGTGAGTTGGATCAGCTGGACATAAATAACATGTGACTTCACATCTTACCCTGGAATTAAGCCATCTACTCCCCGAAGGCCAATCCCGGTTCTACTTAAAGTTCCCAAGGGAACCTTTGGGATCGTTTCTTACAGTTGGCAGTTCTCAGTAGCCATTGATATTATTAATGAGTTCTCTACTTTAAGTAGTACTGCTTGAATGCTTGATGACCGCTGCAATTGGAACTTGGTCTTCCTTCTGGCAAGATCCATTTTGTCTTTTGTACATAATGTTTATACAAAGTGCACCAATCAGACAGCTGGGGGGAACTTGGCTTATGTTTGTTCCATGAAAACACTTCACTCGAATCGAGAAATTTCTTCATTATTTACTACTATTATACTATTAATAGTAGTAGTAGTATTTATTTTCTTTAAATCTCAAGAAGGGGAAGCTTAAGGCTTTCGGATACTGAGTACTATTTTAAATACTCTTCTTGCAGTCTTTCGTCGTACATACCGGTACTCCGACTCTCCGAGTATCATTCTCATAGCGTTCTCATTCAGTACATGACATTGTACTGTACAGTACTCGTACCACATGCTTATCGTGTGTCCCAAAGAATGACAGCTCTTGGCAATGTCCATATGTCCACGATCCACACTCTTGGCAAGCTCCATTCTAAAAACACACCCACACCACATTTTCTGCTCACAATACTAGCTAGCTAGTATTATGGTCCTTTGTTGCTTGCCAACCTGGTTTTGGCTGAGCAGATGATGCAGCAGCTATTGTTGTGAAATGGGACAACAGGTATGGAGTCTGAAGTCTGATTCATAGATAGAGCTTGCAAAGATGGGATTCGCTTCAATGGTCCGTTTCGAAAAACTAGACTAACAATTCTCCATGTTCTAAAGTGTACGGTAGCTAGGGTAGCGTGATTTGTCCCTCACAAATTTTCACTTAGGCTAAGTGCTCGAAAATCCACTTAGGCTAAGTGTTTTACTTAGCCTAAGCAATACACTTAGGCGAAGCCATACAAAGCAACTCACTTAGTAAAGGCTAAGCGAAACACTTAGGCTAAGTGATGCTCTCCAAGGCATCTTCTCAACAGCACAAGTTCAGCACAAGTCC